TACCTCGGCTCCGTCCTCGTGTCCTTGCTTCTCGCCACCAGCAGGGAGAGTCAGGGCCGCGCTCTCACTGGTGGATCAGTTGCCCCCTGCCTACAGGGCCTGGCTTCAGGCTGCATTTCCAAGGTTTTCTTTGTCTTGCCAGAGCAACAGCCAGGCCGCAGGAGGCAGCGAAGGGACGTGCCGGGTGTGGGCAGCCCGGTGCTTCTGGGAGCACCCCCAGACTCGGTGTCCGTGCAAGGTGAGGAGTCCCCTGGGGCTCGTTCAGTGGCTCTGCTGATCCCCCACAGCGCCCTCAGCTGCGGAGATGGAATGTGACGGTGGAAAGGCTGCGAGGGTCAGGGCTGGGTGTGTATTACTCCTCGTTACCTGTGTTTACACAGAGGAGTTGCGTTGGGGCTGTTTTGTGCTAGATGTGACATGTAATTAAGTAAAACAAAATAAACAGCCCATTCCTCCTGACCTTGATAGTCCAAGCTAAATAGTGCCCAGCACTGCCCTGTATTAGAGCAGTGAAGAATGAGCTCTGTGAGGCTTTCATCAACCCCCGGCAGTTTAGCTTGTGTGATGGGGCAGGGAGTGAGTTACTACAAGCAGGGGTGAGGAGAATTCTACCTTAAATACTTGGCTGTCATGGTGGGGCTGACTTCAGCCAAGCAACACCAGAAGTTAGAACAAAGCTTTTGCTGAGGAACCAATTTGCTGAGCAGAAGAAAGTGAGTGAGTGTCAGAGGTTGGAGAGATCATCTGTGCCATGTGCTGGGATAGGAGGAGGGGGTGGGATATACACAGAGCTGCTCTTTGCTCTGCAATACAGCTTTTCAGTAGGTAGAATTTTCTGCTGTTATACCCAGTTTTAAACACAGCACCCCCTCCCGAGGTTCTGCATCAGTGAAGGTGACTCGTTTGCACACAACTGGGGCTACAGGGACCTCTGTTGCTATGTGGGCCTGGGCCTCAAGCTCTGTGTGCATAGACCACCTCCATGGAATGTTTTGCAGTCCCAACCACCCTTCCCTCTGCTGGATGAAGGTCAGTGGGACACCAGGGACTTGCGATGTCCCCCTGAGCATGGACAGCAGCACGCAAGCCAACAGCCCCGCTGTTGTGCTGGGCCCTGGCAGCTTCCTGCCCCGTGTCACTCACCTGGTGTCGTTTGGAGCCTGTGGAGTTCTGCCTGGGCCTGCTGGGTTGTTACCTTGGGGTGGCTCACCCGCTGTGGGTCTGTCAGCTCTCACGTTTGCAGCGCCTGCCCTACAGAGCAGAAATCTTGATGCTTTTTTTTAAGCACCAAATCCAAATGAAGCCCTTTCTGTGTAGGCCTTGGGTGTTCACAGCTGATCGTTGCTGTGAGATGTTTTGACCCCTTGTACTGGAGGCTGGCAGCTCCAGAGGAGCCAGAGGGGGGGCTGGACTGGCTGGACTGCAGCAGGCATGAAGGAGCATGCTCAGGAGGAGTCCTGGGCTGGGGCCGGAGGGCAGTGCAGGGACCTGAGCCCCCAGCAGAGACCCGAGAAGCAGCTGTTCCTTGAGCCTGGAGGCACAGAGGGGCTGGAGAAGGGCTGCTGGCCACCGGGCCCTCACTCCCCGGCCCCACAGCCACACTGCAGGTTGTATTTACTGCCTTTTCACCCAATCTTACAACAGTACTAACAGAACAGTGGTGTTTAAAAGTTGATCCCTGGGGACTGGTTAGTGGCTGGGGCTGGGGGGGGGGGG